CGATATTAAATAGGACTAAATATCAATCTAACTTAGCACAGACTAACTAAAAATTTTAAAGAAGTTGGCAGCGAGAGTTTTTTTCTATTAGAGGTATACCAAACAAAAGACTTGCAAGGATAAAAGAACTTAGTTTTCAAAATTAGACAACATAATTTCAAAAGCAAGGGAAATTTCTGAAGATATAATTCAAGAGTACAGGTAATGCTCAAAAAATAAGGATAAGGCGCAATACTGACAAACTCTTCCCAGTATCAACCTTGACAAAGGGTAATGGTGTCAAATAAGCAATGTGTCATGGAGAATGGCCTCCACCATCAGATACGGAAAGGGGGAAGTTAGAATGAACCCTGTGGTAGTGGAGTAGAAATGGATGTGCTGGTGTGAACTGATGGTTTTTAATATGGATGGATGGACGGACGGGCAGACACTGAAATACAGATGATAAGTCTGCTCAGCCGACAGAGCTAAGACACAGAGGTATGCACGCACGCACACACACACACACACACACACACACACACAATCGTCATGAGAGAGATGACGATTAAGCAAATATGGTTAAACAGTATCATTTAGGGAATGTGGATAAAAGATAAATGAGAATTCTTTGTATTATTCTCACAACTTTTCTATAAGTCAAGATCAAAAGTTAAAAGAAAAAGGAAAAAAAAAAAAGTGTCAAGTGTTGGTTAGCCAAAGCCACTACAATTTCCAAGAGGGCAGAAATCAGGAGTAAGGGAGAAGCAGCAGCCATGTAAGATATCCTTCCCCAAAGGCCAGGAATGGACGGGTTCAAAGTAGGAAAGGAAAGAAAAAGAGAAACACCTGACACAACTACTGGAAGAAACGCAAGAAGAATAACGAACACAGAAGGGATGACATGGTTAGAAAAAGCTGAATATCTACAAGGCAACGTATGTTTATGTAACACATTCATTAAACAGTCTGGTCATACTTCATAATCACATGAAATTTATACACCAAATACATATGACTGCATTGCTGCTAAATAACAAGGTTTGTTTACCTGCTGTATAGAGAGCTCTGTGAAAGTGCATCCATTAATGCCCCAATAATAAACTAAAAAAAAAAAAAAGGAAAAAAGTATTTGATGTTAAGTTGTAACTGTAACTTTGCACAGTCAGCTTGCTGTAACTGCACATCCTACACAGGGCTACAGAAGAGCTGTTACAAGCAAAGCTGATCTCTCATGCTGTAGGTTGGTTTATGATCGTCTCGGAGGATACCTTAATGCCACCAGAACGACAAAACAAATAGCGAATTTTCCCACCTGATAAAAACATACGGAATACGGAGAGGAGAGCCATGTTGTGCTAAGAAGGAAGAAAAGAGTCCAAAGAAGGGCCACATGGTGGAAAATAAAGGTAGTAACAAAGGAAAAACAAAAAGATACTCAAGAGAAAATTCAAGCCCCTATGCCTGGAAGATAAAGGGGGGAAAGTATACCTTCAAAAATATTACTAGACAAAAGCAAGCTTCCAGGAAGTGCAAGAAGGCTAGGAGAATGTAGAAAAATGATGTATATTACAACACTACGCATGTAGTTGGACAATTAGGAAAGTTTACTTCAGTTACCTCTAAATGAGAGGTAAATTACTATACCAAAGTCAGTGATCACCCGACTCATGTGGCACCATAATATAAAACTTTAAATCACAGCTGTAGTTCTCACAATCTCTTTGCTTTGTGTGATTTCTGATAAATGGAAGCATAGACGCTAATAATACAGCTCTAAAGGCAACCTCTGCTCAGTACAGTCGATAGTAATTCATTGACTCAGAACTGGGGGACTAGCGTGACTAAACAAAGAGCGATAATTCAGTGATTCAGAACTGTGGAAACAATATCACTAACACGCTTCTATACCAGTTTTCATGCTGTTGACTGTTGTTCAGAATACTGATACCAAAGAACTACTGGTAATGATGCAGGCAGCCTATCGACAAACTACATTACAGAAAGCGTTCTCCCAGTACGATAGCTAAGTTTAGAGAAATCGGATTTGTTGTACGCAAACCTCTAAAATGTTACTTGCGATTTTCAAGCCCTAGTGTATATTTCTGAAGATCACATAGGATAAAACAAATACCTTCGCCCCTCATCTTTTGACAAAGGGAAAAAGGAAAGGGAAAGGCTGTCATTACCTCAGAAAATTCTGCTGAAAATGGAAGAACCCTTGTTTCATAGAGCTCCAAAAAACTGGTAATGCCTTCTTTGGTCAGGATTTTATTTTCACTTTCAAACATTCTTTTATAAATACACAGATGCCAGGATGGGTGAAAGAGCCAACATCCTGTGGAAATAAACACCGAATGTTGACTTAAGATTCTCACATTATGTTGCCCCATGTAGACTATATATTCAAAAATAAACACAAACACATCAACTTCATTACAACACTGCAAAAGTGAGTCTCTTTTTAATCGCACCTGAGGGTGTTTAATTACTGAATAACCAAAAATAACTTCAGTATTTGGTATTCCATTTTCAGAGAGATTCATTTAGAACGGCTGCAAGCGAGCGTCATAGTGGCTACAGCGTACAGAAATTAAATATGACCCCACGCAGGTTGAAACTTTAGGTTTGGGGTGATTTCAACCAATTCTTCTCTCACCTTACTTCAATCCATTTTTCACAGAGAACCCTGAAACTGTCCCTGCTCTATTTAAAACCCTTGGGTGGCTTCTCAAAACTCAAGACTAAAAAACAAGTGAGGCATGAACTGCTTCTGACAGCTACTCCGACCTTAACCCGCCTTCCCACACCACTGTGCTGTGGCTTACTGGTCGGGTCCTACACCCCGCTGAGCTGTTCCCATCTCAGGGCTTCTGCACCCAGAGCTGTGTCTCCTCAACTTCTGTGTAGCTCTTCAGGCAGGTCTTTGCTAGCTGCCCTCTCCAAGGTATGGCCTCACTCACTAGATAACTCCATTTCTGCCTCTTGTTTGTTGCCTGTCTAGAACTTAACATCAAAGCTATTTTTTCCTGGAAAACAGACAAAAACCAAGTGAAAAAGAGTACATCTGTCTCACCACTTTATCCCAGCGCTTAGCCTGTACTGGACACTAAGTAAACATCTATTAAGTGAATATACAAATGAGTGAGAAACAAAAAAATGGAGTATGTACCTTGGACATACTTTAACTTTTTTGAAATGTCCTTTAACACTACTAGAAAAAAAAAACTCAGCATTTTTAACTCATGGCATTCTATAAATAAATCAGTCCTTTTTTTTTTTTTTTTTTTTTAAATTTACACCAAGATGCTTGTTCAATCCTTTGGCAGTGATTTTTCAAAATCCGTCACTGCCATTTGATTTGGTTTGCCAAGAGCTGTGGGCAAAACGTGGTAATAAGAGAATCATTTTAATAGTAAATGCGTAAGTGAAGTCACAACAGGATTCAATCAAATTCTAGCCCCAGGTGGGACTGCAGATTCTTATGGTCTGTGAAAAATCCCAGTGTATCAGAAAACAACCATAGCAATCAGCTGAATAAAGCTCAATTCCTAAGGGGTCAAACTATTAAAGTTGTAATTATCTAAAGTAGGCACTAAAACCCATTTACCTAGGTTATTTCTCATGTGTAAACATGATAATGTAGCATTTTATCATTCATATGAATACAAAACACCATTAGCTTGCCTTTAGCGGTCTCGTTGATCTAAACTTAATTTCATAAAATAATTTTAGGAAGCTCCAGCTTCATTTTGTTTCTCCTAAGAAGCCCTCATAATATAGAACTGATAAAGGACTTAAAAACCATATTTAAAATAGCATCTTGGAATTTTCTCTTCCTAAGAAGTCCAACCTACAGAATAGCTAAAACCTGAAGAAAATAACTCTAACAATGAAACAGATATTATTAAGAGAATAAGGATGGAAAGCACTTAAAATATACAATACCAAAGAGCTCTTATTAAAAATAAATAATATACCATGATTAAAACATTACCAAAGAGCCCTTATCTTTCAAGGATATATGCTGAAAAAAATTACAGATGAAATGCTATGTTGTCTAGGAATGTGCTTCAAAATCATTTGATGGGGAGGGAGCAGGAAAGGCCACATATGATGTACGACAGAGACTGGCACAAGTTGATCACTGCTAAAGCTGGGTGCTGGGTTTCGTCATACAAACGCTTCTCCTTCCGTGAATGTCTGCAATTTTCTATAATCAGAAGTTTAGAAATGACCATACCTCTAAATTATAGAAAACTCTGCAGCCATTTAAAATTAAATTCTCAAAGACTATTTAAGGACATAGATAAATGCATTTGGTTATACTGCTGAGTGAGAAAAAAACATTATGAACAATCAATCCACAAGGTATGTATCTGGAATGTTAGCAGCTGTCTCTTGGTAGCAGTAAATTCATATATTCCTATAACATGCTCTATAATGAATAAGAGTTAATTATAAAATTAAGGGGAGAAACTGTAAGTGTTATAAAAAAGCAAAATAAAAGTAACTGTTACCATTTTCCTCTGACACTGCATATTCAAACAGATTGTTTAGCTTTGGTAAAACTGGCTTTATAACATGTATCTGAAAAAACAAAAGCAAAAAACCACAGGAAATGAAAATTCACCGTTCAAAACTCAAAAGACTTTTCATCTATTTATACAACAGTCACTCTGTTCCTCCTTACCACCCTGGAGAAGAGGCAGGGCCTGTATACCAATATGTTACAAAGAGGAAAAAATACTGCGATGCTTTATCTAGTTACTCTCATTGTTCAAGGCCACACATTTAGAAGTAGAGTCAGTTCAGAGTTCAATGCTCTTCATTCTTAGACTCTGCTACAGACACCTGCGTCTAATTTACATACCCTACAAACTAAAGGTAAATCACAGTTTCTAAAGAGTGAGGGTCTTGAGGATATACTGATTCAGGAAAACCATAACAGTTTATATGAGTTTAGAAATGCTTTTCCTTTATTGCTCATCCTGTATCTACATATATTTAGTACGTATGAGTAATTCTTTATTTTAGTCCACAAACAATGCATCTGGACTGACACCTCCCAGTGCCTCCACGATGGCAGGCCCTGCAGCTTACGGACTGAGAACCCCTACAACAGGGGTTCTCCAAGTGTGGTGCCCAGAATGGCAGCTTATGGATCTCCTAGGAACATGTAAAATATCTGAAATCTCAGGCCCCACCACAGACCTACTGAATCAGAAACTTTGCAGGCTGGGTACTTTCATAAGCCATCTGGGTGATTCTAATGAATGTTAAAGTTTGAGAACACTGCACTAGAGTAGGTAATCTTAAGAGATTCTTCTCAACTTAAAAACTCTAAGATCCTACAAAAATGAACTCGAAGTTGACTGCAAATGATTTTTCAAGTTTCCATTCTCAGGACCAAGAAGGCCAAGATGTAAGAGAGAGAGGGAGGGAGGGAGGGACGGAGAGG